AGTGCTCGTGAAGTCATTGATTGGCTAAACTTTCTTAGAATTTCCATAAATACCGATTACATTACAGCCAAGTAAATTATCTCTTTTTAAATTATCTGCTGATAATACAGTTCTATGTTAATACTGTCTTATCAAACTGTAACTGTTAAATTATCATTAGTCATATTTTAACGGGTAATTACAGTTAACTATTGTTTCTCCAAGCTTTTATTAGTTTAATGTGAATTCCTAAACTTAAACTCGAAATAGAGAAAACAGTTTTGTAGATCAGTTGTATACTAATATGGTCTAGATAACTCGTACATCTAATAGTAACTTCAATTAACCACTTATTACCAAACGTTTCTTGCCTCGTAATCCTATATATCTTTATATCAACAATCCTTTATCTGATAAAAAATCTTTTTCAAAGTGGAGCAACTAGTAATACCCTAATTATATATAAGATGTAATGAAACATAATTCGAATGAATTCGCTAAAAGAAATTACACATCTTACATGTTAATGAATAATCTGCTAGAGATAATCGATCACTATGAAATGAGAGGTTGACAAATTCGTATACAATACTTTATATTCCCAGTGAACTATACATTCTTTAAAGATTAAGTTATTATCAGTAAACAGAAAATACAATAAGACTACAGTAGTATTCGTGTCTAGTTTCGTAAAATGCATGCGATTTTATCAGAATTCGAGTTTAAATCTTCAACATTAAGAATATGCATAACTATGCTTTATAAAATGTCGAATAAACATAACATTATCTGATCATTTGTTATTAGTAATAAAATTAGACTGGAATAAAACAGAAAAAGAAAGGTTCACTTCCTGGAAAGTTTAAAATGAAACCCGAAATTAATAATTTTTATCAAATATTACATTGTTGATTTTGAAATACCTAATTAAGTTACATTCATTTGTCTAAAATGTTGTTTGAAAGTAAAGCTTTTAAAATGCTTTCCTAAATAAGATCTAAGTTTCAAAGATTTCTGGCAAATGATTCATGGCTTCCTAATATGGATTAGTGTCTTTTGAAAGATCGAAGTAAAACCTCAGATAAATAGAAAGACGTAGTTCTATCTATTTTATTAAGTGGCTTGCAATATACGTTTTGCTTACTCATTAATTTTCCCCTAAAACTAATATGGATAACAATCATTCCGACAGTTATCTCTCAAGGTGAACTTCCTATAACGTGACATATTCATAGCTTATCAGTCAAAAACGCTATGGACTTATCTACTGGATGTTACTTTTCACTAAGTTCTAGCATTTATAGCATTTCTTATTGACTGACATTGGGTAATAGGTGTTTTTACCAATTATAATGAAGTTTCACAGGGTAATTTTCCATCCATTTTAGCGACATTATTTCATATCTAAGTAAATAAATTCAAGAAATGGTATGAGACGTGAGTCACAATCTCATCTCTATATTGCAGACATAAATAACTAGATACTTTAATAAACTTTAAACTCATTAAATATTGATCATTATAGTTACCGTGACTGAGATTAAGAAAATGTGGTAACTATGGTATCGAAAGAGTAAATAATTCTAATACTTTTGTAATTGAATAGGAAGACAGGTGATTTATATTACATTAAACTAAGTTCTTATTTATTTCCATATTAGAAATAAGCTTTACTGTCGATTTATTTCAGACAACACTGAAAATGTCAGTGCAATGTTAGAGTACTATCAAATAGCTAATGAACATCTAAAACCCTTTCTGGTACTATACGTAATCTACGCAAGTATATCACGAAAAATAATGAAACTATCTTAAAGAATAATGTAACTATATTTCATGTTCAATATTAAGGGTAATGTGAGCAAACTCTCTGTATTTCCCTTACATGTGTTCTAGAATTGTGATAAAAGCAACAATTTCGTATTGAATCAGTGGTCAGATATTACGTTTACCTACTTAGATTGAAAGCCTTTAAGCTTAAAATTTACGAGACATCATAAAGTATCTTAAGGATCTGAATGTTCGAACTTATGATTAAAGTATTTAGACGATGAGTTCCAAGCGGATAAGAGAAGTAAATACCTCTGTTTAAAGGTAAAAACCTTGTTTGTTTTTTTATTGATATATACACTGGTGAAAACCTGTGTTTCATGTTACCGTTATCGCTATAAATACACTGGTGAAAACTTAATTCGCCTCTGTCAAGTATGGAATCACTTTCGAAGTAATTAGTATACCGGACTATTTATTTTATTTGGACATCGATATATACTACAAAACAAAGTATGCAAAACTAGGAGTGTACATAAACTGCATCACCAAAGTTAGACTTGATAATTTCAGATAAATTGGACAGAATAATAATAATAAAATAATGACATATTTGTGATATTCCAGTGAGTAAAAACTAGAATTTTTAATGTCCATTCACCTAGTGTAAGCCACTTCTTCATAGTAGAGAAACTAATAACCCAACTCATTCAGCACAAGTTTAAATATTAAACAATCCAAACTTATTGAGACATTACAAACATCATTATTTTATTATTAGGAGTGCATGTTTTCATCAACAAAATAATAATAATAATAATAATAATCTCATTTTGATATAAGACTCTCTTTAAAAGTTAATCAGTACTAACAAAGTGAGTTCTTTTAATTTATCAGTTCTGAAAACAAATTTAAATACTCGTAAGTCACATTTTCAACAATTTTTTGGGGGGTTTAATTACTGTAAATACTATCCGTTCCAAGCACGTGTCTTGTTGACTTGATTGTTTGAGAGTAAACATTTTAATTGATGCCAAAAGACCTTATCTAGCTGGTAACCTAATATATAATTTATGCCAACCTAATAAATTTTCAATTAATTATCCATAAAATTGTATCCCTAAAATAACTTTACATCCGGTAATACAAATAAGCGTGTATGCAAATTCGTTTGGTCTTGTTGCTAAAGTCACAACATATTAATCATCTGAAAGTCATTGAACTTGGTCTCTCAGTTCCTGTTCTTGATATAAGTTAATTGTGAAATGAATCAGTATGATAAAGCGTGGTATGAATTAAAATTACAGTAATCCAGATATGGGTGTGTCACACACTAATCTTCACTTGTTAATATTGTTATTAGTTGTGACGTAGACAGGTATTTGTATACTTGTTATTTAACATGTTCACCACAGTCCATTTCCTTGCTTATTAACTTTGTGTACAACTGGTATTTTTTATAGGTTTTCACTTGTATGATTTCTTCATGTTGTTGTGATCTTATTAGTTTGATGTAAAAGTGTTGTTGAGTAGTAATTAAAGTCGTATAGTCTTGGGCTTATTTTGCTAGACTGAACGCCAATTTTAGGTTTCAATGTACGTGATTCTGAGTGACTAGTTTCTTCCACCTTTCTGCTTGATACGTTGTTGATCAGACGGTCCAAATCCTCATTTTCTGATAGAATATGTAGTGGCAGCACTAACTTATATCGTAAATTAAGTAAAGTAGGATAGTTCACTGATAAATATAACTTGTAGACCTCAGAAGCAAATTAATTACATCCATAGTAGACTATTTTTAGGGAGTATCTATCATATGATGATTCTATTGTGGAAAACTTTAGAGATAGTGATAAATAATAAGTAAGCAACTATATATCTTCAAATAACAGAAAATAACTGCACAATAATCAGTAATTTAAATAGGATTGAGAGCTAGATAAAAACTATATTTTCTTAACAATCATTTGATCGCTGTGATGATGATAAGACTATCGATCCCTTAAATCTGTCGGTCTTCATCGATACGTTTTATGTCTTAAATGTGAGGAGCATATTTCTAGACTTCAACTGCCAGTCTGATAAGTGAGGCAGTATAATATTACTTCCAACAATCAAGTTCGAAACCACGTCACTTGTTCTCATGATGGATTACATGATTTATCTTCTGATTTTGTTTTCTCTAATATATCAGGATGAAGAGAATATTCTATAAACTAAATTATTGTTCCTCAATAGTAGTAGTATTATTAATCAGAAATTCTTACATCTCTTATAAGTACTCTTCTGAGCGAGGTGATTCATTGGTAGTTAATTAATTAATTACCAATGCCATAAAACTTTTGCTTCAGCTTACGCGACGTATTGTTCGTTTTCTCAACAAAAGTGTTTATAATTGCACAATAAATGTTGTTCATAAAAATGTACCCTCCCAGCAGTACGAGCAATTGAATAATGTGCCTACAAGCATTTAGGTTTCTATGAAATAATTCACTACAGAAAGCCAAAACAGAATGATCGCTTGAGAATGATCAACCAACCACATTGAAATAGTTAACAATATTCAAAACTTTAAGACAACATTTTCACTAAATATTTGGACAACTTTGTTTACACCATGATACCATGAGACCAATATTATCCTATATAATAAGTGTCGCTCATTAATTTTACCATACAAATTTCATAGCCACAGAAATGTTAGCTATGAATGTGTAAAGTTTTCATTTCTATCCCAGAATCTTCTATGAGAGAGCAAGGATTCTCAAACTAAGTAAGATCATTCGTCCTCTTTATTTTAAAATCATTAATTTCTCTTGAAATAATAGTTGTTTCTTCATGAAAAAACAAGTAACTTGCCACCGTAATATTAATAACTATTGTATACTATAAAAATTGACGTTTTAATATAAGCTTCCTGATTTTTAATCTCTTACTATGATAAAAACTTGAAACCCATCAGTGTTGAATACAGAAACTGGATTTCTTCTAGGCTATAATCGGGTAACCTTACGTGATTGAAAATAAATCTTATTAGCTAAATGATTTTGTGGATATATAAATGCGATATACAACCAAATCCTTTCTTGGATCAAGAGACATGAAGCAATTTAAAGTAAATCTGAAATATAAAGAATTTTTCGTTTAGTTCATAGTAGGTCGACAGATTTTGTAAAGTCATTATAAATGCGTGTTTCACTTCTTACAATTTTTCTCCATCAAAGTGCAAAGTAATTCTATTTTCTTTTCAGTTCCAGATTGACAGTGTAAAACATAACAGAAATCGCCAAGAAGTAACATCGTTCTGGAAAACATTAATTACCAAGTGGATAGGGTTTAGAGTCAGAATTATTCTATTTCTTCACTTATTTCTACCTAACTTGAACTTTAATAATGAAGTTTTTTGAATATCTTCAATATAAATGCTATTACTGTTCAGACTGTATGGCTTTCATACATAGTCCAGTTTCATAAATGTCAACAGGGTTTTCTGAGAATCCACTTAGTGATAATGACATTGTAGAATCTAGTCATTCACCTATTGAACAGACTGATTTCACACAGCAGTCAACATCACCACCATTAGGAGACAAAACAACACAGCAATCAACTCCCCCTTATTCATTATCGCCAATACTACAACCAATAGCAACAATACTAACTGACACACAAGCAGAAACTCAAAAACCGGAAGAAACTCAACCTATTCAACCAGAGTTTACTGAGATAATAACAGACAGAAATAAATTAGAGCATTGTGTTGAGTTAGACTCCCCAACTAACTTTGTGTCGAACAAATCCAGTCTAGATAGAGAAAACTGTGATAACAGTATGACGAATCAAGATGACAGAGGAAATATATCACCTAACTGGATACCTGAGCAACGCTATAATGTTTATACATGTTCTACTACGACGCCAAGTTCACAAACGGTTTTACGGCTGAAGCAATATTATACGAGTTTAGAAGAGTCAACAAAGCCATGTGAAACTAAGGTTACTGAAACGAACAATAATAATGGAAATAGTCGTAATGGAAAATCACTTCGCAAATTAAGACGCAATACATTCGACAGATCATCACACCGATCAAACTCAAAAAATAATGGAGAACAAGCTGATCACATCGAAAACTTCAGTTCATTTAAAGATGAAAAGGTAAACACATCTGTAGAAGAAATGCGTAAATTATTTGAATCTGGTCGCTTCACCGATCATAATAAAAAACAAATGGTTGCTGAAACAGTAGTGACATCAAAAGAACAAAATGAAAAATCGAATGATTTAAGTAGTTCCAAATCATTTAAAGTGATCAAATCACTTCCTGAGAATACCGTAGAATTTCATTCGCGTCCGCCAAAGTTTCGGACTCCTAGTCCTAAACCTTTTAATCTACCGACACCACCTCCACTACCTCTACCACCAGCTATGGAATCCATCAACAAATCTTATGAGATGAATGGTGTTACTAACAATAATATAAGTAGTACAAATAAAGTAAAGAATAAAATGAAATGTAAAAATAAAAATTATTCATCCTGTTGGAGTCAACCTGCTAAGCCAATATTATCAATGAGTTTACCATATCGCTCACGATCTTTGGCGATTGACAGGAAATCAGAACTAACTCATGGTAACAGAGGAGGTTCTTTATCTCGTTATCGTGCTTGCTCAATTACTCAGCGATCACTATCACCATTACCCAATACATTATCCTTTAAGGATGATCAGACTGATAAGGCAGCTAAAAGTAATTTTTCAAAATCTTCAGATTTAAAATGTTCGAGATTAAATAATTTTATCGACACTAATGCTAAGAATACAGAGTTCGGAAAACAGGAGTCTAATCACTCTACAGTCCATTGTAATGCCTGTAATGTCAAGCCTGATCAAATTGTTTGTATGAATCCTTCATCTACCGATGGTGTGTATGTTAGATCTGCTGTAGTCTATGAGCGTGTGAATGGAAAACCTCTTTCGAAGGAGCCCAAAAACTTCATTACGACGTATGTAGTATCTAAGTGGCCAAGTCCAAGTCAGGCGACTGTTCAGGCTACAAATTTATGGGTTGCAGAACAGTCTCTTCAACAATATGACCAGAAGTTGCCTACACCTTACAGAACACAAGCGTTGTCAAAACTCAATACTACAGCTCAGTCTAGTGAATCGAAAGAAATCCAGTTATATCATAGTAGTCCAGTTGATAATCTAGCCAAGCCGAAAAAAAATACTATACAGCAAAAATATCAGAGTTTGGTAGTTCAGCCAAGAATTAAATTTGATCAGCATGATCATACACGTACATTCACTCATACTAGGAATAGATCTTTGTCTCCACAACCGTTACCCACTCCACCTTCAACGGAATTACACCCACATATATTACGTTGTACTAGTGGTCAGTGCAGTCCATCCCATCAAAGTCGTATATCCCAATCTTTCGTGGATAAATCCAATAATATAGATAAAGTGCAGCGATCAACATATCACAGGCCTTATTTAAGTCGTTCGTGGTCAGTAAAATCACTATCCCCACCACCACCTTTCCGAAGTCAGTGGCTTAGTTCTATGAGTGCATCAAGAAGCAGACAGAAAATATTTGATAAATTTCACAGCTTAACACGTGATATGTATCCCAGAACCAAAGCAGAATCATTTTGTAAACATCATAGAGGTCGAGAACCAAACCAAGTAATAAACTGCACCAAACACAGAAGTTGTATTGAGTCATACCGCAGGGAAAGTGCAAGACGTTTACGAAACCATGAAAAGAGGGATTGGGTAAAACGAGCAGAAGAGATCAGTGATGATAGACAAAAATACCATGAACTTAGAGGAAGTTGGTCGCCACCAGTTATGCGAAGTCCACCAAGTGCAACACCAAATAATATGGAGGAACATACGGAGAAGGAAATTCAAAGATACATAAGACAGCATTCCCCCCCAGCTCGGTCCCCTCGTGTCGCAATTCCTAGGTATTCATCTTATTATCCACAAGAATATGTCAAATCGTTAGATAAAGGCATACAGTGTGACAGTGTTGAAGCAGGAGGATGTGCGTATCAAGCAATTGATAAGTATGCTGATGACTGCATAGACACTACTCCAATCGCAGAAGATTTTGATAAAAAACGTGCATATTTTGAAGAGTTGATCAAACTAAATAGAAATTTAGCTCAGTGTTCATTTTGTTCTGACTGTTATCACTGTTCACCTGGCCAAACACCAAAGCTTAGCGCCTATTCAAGCTGGGACTCTGAGATCAATAATTTAAACAGTCAGAACAATTTAGTCATAAAACGAGATTTCCACTCTAAAGACCAGCCAAGTAACTACCAATACAATCGTCACCAACAAGAGAACCACTACGGAAAACATCATCAACGACATATTAGCCATTTTCAAAAGCCTAACAAAAATTCAGCTTATAGTTGTCACGAGTACAATCATAATCCGTATCCTGGTACAAAACACCATTATAACATTTACGGTACCAATAATAATAGTAATAATAATAATAATAATAATCACCACTTTACTCTGGGTGAACCTCAACAGTATGCTTCCAATACATATTTACCTTTCGAAAATCCGGCCTTTGTAGATCATGATACAAATTATTCCCGTTTAGATAAAACTTTAATGGACCAGCCCACCGTTAATTCAATAAAACATGACTATTACGCAAAGGCTATTAACGCTATGCCTAAAGTTGCCCCGAACCCACCTACGTACAGTAATAATAATAATAATAGTAACTTTTACAACTATCAAGAACCCTATGAATCATTTGTCAGATATCGAAATATTTCTCCGTTACGTATAGAACTAGAAGATTCACCAAACCCCATATCACCATATAGCAATCAGTTTATGACTCAGCGCCCCTACAAAATTAGGAAAACAGTTCATTCACCACCGTGCAGATTTGCCACTTATACAGCAAATGAAAATTACAACTTATCAAATTATCAAGAACATCAAAAACAACGAGGTGAATCTTTAGAAAGTTTACATTGTGAACAGAATGATTATCTAGACGATCAGCCAAAATTTTATGGCAGAGTAAAACAAATTGTTCAAGCACTTGATAAACAAGCTGTAGAGTACAATTCACGTATTGATTCAGTTGAGTCAATAACTAGTCCTGATAGACATCAACCATTAAGACGCAGTCACAGTGATCGTTTCTCTTATTTTATGCCAAGAACATCATGGTAACGTAAAAAAAAAAGAAAAAACTGGAATAATTTGTTTTATTATCATAAAGTAGAATAACGCTAATTATCAAGAATGTTTCATTGAATGAATTAACCTAAAATAAGAACTTATATTTTCCTCCGTATACGTTATTGTTATTCTTATTTAATCTTTAATATTTTCTAACTTAATATTATTTAAGAATGACAAAGCTAAATAATAATAATAATTCAGGAATTCTCTAACTGTTAACATTAATTTTATGTTGATTGTTTAGTGTTTACTATTTAATATTTTTTATTAGTTTTAATTAATCAATAATTGGAAAGTTATTCAATGATATTTTGTTCTATAACTGAGAATAATCTAATTGATATTTAAAAGGAAATAGTTTATTAGCAACTAATAATCAATTAAACTATGGAGAAAGCGTCGATCATTATAATATGCATTTAATAATAATTAAATATGTTGATTAATTTTCTTTATTCATTTTCTTTGGTGTTGCTTTACTGATAAAAGTCTTTCTAGTTATTGACTTTGTTTTTTTTTTAAAACAAAACGAAAGAAAAAGAAGAAGAAGACGAAGAAGTAAAACTTTCATAGAAAATTGAGAACTGTAATTTGATTTGAGAATCAAAAACATAGATGAAACTGTTATCTCAGCATCTAAAACTAACTACTAACTATTAACTTAGATACATGATATATTCCAGAAGTTATGAGTCTTTTTCTTTCGTATATGTAAACTAAAATACCTGTATTTAGTAAAGACTTAGTGAGCCCGCTTAAGCCTAAAATCAATAGTAGGTATTATATAGTTTAAAGGATAGATTCAATACCAGCACCTGGTCTCTATTCACTATCATGTTAAGAATAGTAATTAGTTAAATACAATCATAGAATATTTTCATCTGTAAGAGCATCTTTCCGAACCAATATGTTATGACACATCAACAAATTACAAAGAAATATCTGTAAATTCAACGAAAAATCAAATAAAAATGACTTTAAATAGAAGTTTACCAAATATTCAGTGTATATTTAACTCACATCTTTGTACTTTAAATTGTCTTTTATGCTAGGCTTCATCAGTTTTTCCTAGACTACCATAACAGAAATATACTGTATTTTTCCCTAGTTAACTTTAAAATAGTTAGGTATGAATAAATAGTTATTGACTATTTTTAACAACTGAAATATGTGTAATATGCTTTCCAGGCAGTTTTCAAGAGATTTAAGAATTCATATTTTTGAAAATCTCAAATAGAACGTTCTCAGACAACCTCATCGTTTTCTATTTTCAATGGTTTGCTACAATTTATAGTATAATACTCAATTGCTTTCGTCTGGTAATCTTAAGCATCTGGATTTTAGTTTTGGCAATAAGCACATAATGGCACTGTTAACTACTATGAAATGCTTCTTTACCAGGTTTATGTAAATGATATAGATCATCTACAAAACGCAAAGTATTCATGTCAATTGCGGAGAATATCAGTTCTGGTTTATTAGTGTATTCGAAATTATATTTTGAATGTGAATGTGTAGATCAGGCAGTAAATTAACCTTATAACACCGCTTTAATAGCATGAATCTAAACGGTCTATCTCTCTGTAGAATATTACAAATACATCAGTAGATTGTATTTGAGGGTAAAATTTAAATCCAGTTCACAATTTTTAGTTTCTGCATAAGTATATGTATACGAATTGAATTATAGCGAATACAGTCTTCCAAGCTAACAATATTAATAAACATGGTGAATCATTTTTATTGATGACATAAAGTAGTTTGAAATTCTCTAACAAAATCCAAAACCCTTCCATATATTTGTGATCAAATCAATACTCTTGATAGACATCATCCAACAAATCCTGTCCACCTCTTTTAGTATAAATCTGTCAATTTGTAAAGTGCTTTAAAGACTCTAATACACTGCACTTTACCAAATGGCCTAAATGTCAAAAGCTGTTATCCACAGTATGAGAAAAATGAGTAAACCCATCATGTTATAGACATAATATTGTTATTTATCACTACGTCAAAGAGTACGAACAGCTGAACTAATTTTGCTAAGTGATGATAACACACTGAATTTGTCAATTTTAGTAAATTCTAAACGGTTGTATTTATTATGTTAATTGTGAATTTTTCAGGCTCTATCGCTTTTATTCTCAATGAGATAGTTTTCCTTGACAATTTTATATTTATACAAATCTATAAACAATCGTTGAAAGTTTGAGGAGAGCATTTGTTTTTTGTTGCTTAGTTAATCAACATCCACCTTCAAATGTTTATGCTCGACAAAACAAAGCTGTTTCAACGACTACACTATTTTTTTTAATTTAGACTAAAGCTAACAAATTCACTATCGATCATCGTAGAGAAATAGATCATCTTAAACGATAATTACTCGCAAAACTGGAAAAATATATTTACTTTACCTAATTGGATTGTGGCTTTAGAAATAAGTAAATACTGAAATACAGAAAACACCTTATTAGTTCGAGATTTCTCGTCAAAAATGAAACAAAATATTAGATTTACCATAAAAAATTAAAACTTCTAATTTTGCACTGTTTGCCGTTCCATAAAATATGTTATCAAGAGCTTACAGCTAACACATAAGCTGCCTTGATTTCGAGTACTATGTCATACCCACATGAATTATTCTAGATTTCGGACAGACCGATTAAATTATTACTCCCAAGACATTGTCCACACACATATTGGCAAGGTCAATATGTATTTAGCTTATTTTTGTCTGACTATGAATGATGTTTTATCAAATTTTGTTAGTATGCTTGCCATCTCCATTTCACTTTCCAGCTTCTGGTCTACATATCCGTCTATTAAAATTAGTGCTTGGAATAAACTCAACGAACTTAATCCGTATTCGGCTTCTGATTATCGTCGTCGCTCAAAAAACGTTAGCATAGGTGTAATATACGGAACCGAACTACTGATTTACATTCATGAAGTATTCAATCGTTCATCTAAATCAGAGCTAAATCAACGGGCCACTAAAATACATCAAAATTATTCCTATTTTAATTATCTCGAACTATCAGTAAGGTAATTACTTTGACATGGATATTACTCTGATTGATCCGAATGTTGCTTAGTGACTTAAAAGTTGTTTGTTAGTATACGGCAACAAACATGTTTCGTTAGTGTTAGTTATTAACTTTTGTGTAGAAAAGACCGACTATCTTCGACATCCAAGAAAAATATTTGACGGAATATTTTCAATTGATGAAAATATAGTCAGTGATAAAATGAAACAATACAGTCAACACAATACTACTTGCATCACATTATCAACTATCCATAGGATATATATTGTATCACAAAATATGAAGACAGTTAATTTGAAAAATCTGAATAAATACTTTTGATTCAACAAAAATTGTCTCTTGTATGATATTTCCTTGAAGATGATCATACAATTAACGAGAGTTCTCATGCTCTTATCTCCAAATTATAATAAACTAGAGGAAATAATGAACTATGTACTAGTTCATATAATGTACTGCATAAATTTTGAGAATTCCAAAAGTATTCTATATGATAACATTGAACCAAAGATTGATTGTTTCATAAACAAAGATGTAGGCTATTCAAAATCAGTCTTTCCCTATTTATAATTGTATGTTAAAATAATGTGCACTGGTAGCAGTAATATTTTAGTTGACTCCCAGTGATGCAAAGCTCTCAGTACCATTTTGATCTTTTCAATTGTGAACTGAGAACGTAAAGTTGGTAATCTTATATGAGAATTTTGATTACCTGGAAATATTTTCAGACAATATCAATAATTTTAGTAGTTAAATTCCATTAGATGAATTAACTGATTTACCCAAATCTGTACACATTTAACTTACGAAGTTCAGTGATCCTAAAGTGAGGAGTTCGTAAAGATCCGGCATTTCATTAAACTGGTATCAAAAACGAAATAAATTTATTTTGGTAGTAGATATGAACAGAATATTGAGAATTCAAACAAATAATCAAAGAAGAAGGTAATGATTGAAAAATCTACCATGTACATTTGTGACTTAATTATGGTAAACAGATAAAGTAGTGTCATATAAATCATCCGACAACTGGGAATAAAAGCTTGTAGTTTATCCATTTTACAATAACAGAATAGTAATTGTTGAATTTTATATTATAAAAAATGAAGTAAGACAGTGTTGATCAAGACATATTTAATTGAGATCATGAACCGATTGATTTTAAAATACCATTGAAAACCTGGAAACACTAGACGGCCGTTTCGTCCTATTGTGGGACTCCTCAGCATCCCCGACCCCGCTTGCGGGATTCGAACCCAGGGCCTTCAGTCCCGCGCGCAACCGCTTAACCTAAGCAGTCCCACAATAGAACAAAACGGCCGTCCAGTGCTTCCAGGTTTTCAATGGTGGTCCAACATCAATCGGTTCATGGTCTCAATCAAAAACTTAATAATCTTCACAACCCTATACTGATAAAAAAGTCATATTTATCAAGGGAAAAAACAGAGATCCAAAGGAATTAGCAACAATTGTTGCAGATAAAGTTACCAAGTAAACAAAATTTGAAAAATTTAAAATCAAAGAACATAAAGAAACGATATAATCTACTTACTGATCAAAAATATAGAACAGACTTACAAAAATATTCATCGGATGATTATTTTCACTCATGATGGTTTATAACTGTCAACAACTAGAGTATTATTGAAAGCTCTTCTCGAATACTATCATTTCAGTAAATTGGTTCATCTTTTAGCTAATAATGACTAAGGATTTTGTTTAATACTGTCATATATAATAAAAGATGTTCAAGAGTAATATCAACTTTCGCATCGAAACAATTTTATATCATGAGTCATCACGATTTATTGTGCAAACTCGAAACGAATTTCACAGTTCATTTTGATTAATTTAAGGTTATATCATAAGTGAAGGTCTAACTTAAGCTTTTAATATATTAAATCATTGTCTAACAAAGTCATTTACTGAAGCAACAAAAAACT